TTTTTTTTACCACTTCAGAATTCAGTCTTTCCGTTGTTTGTGGACCTACATCTACCTAACCTTGGTCAGCTTTGTTTTTAACCTTTCTAGCTATGTAAAATTTCATTTCTTATCCATGTCTTTTCCTTTTAGTAAATATTAAATAACCTTTCAATATTTGATTTCACATGATGAAATAAATTACTTTGTATGCGAACTTTTAAAAACCTCCACTTTGGTCTTAAAAATTACCCCTCGAGGGACTAGGGATGTAGTTTACTGGGAGAGCACATGGGTTGCATAAGAGGCAGAGGTGGGAGAACCAGTGCAGGTTTGAGGCCAGCCTGCTCCACATAGAAGTTCTCGGTCAGTCGTACTACTCTGGGTCAAAAAATAAAACAAGTAAAAACCAAAAAGTTACTTATTGATTCTGAATGTAATTCGTTTGTAGAAGGGTTCGATGAATTTGTCTTATTGAAAGACTAGGTTCTTTATAGGACTCAGAAAAACCTGATAATTTTCTGGGTATAATTAGATTTAATATAGTACATAAAAGTGGTACTGAAAATAGAATTTAAATTTTCTCCATTCCTTCCCTTCAAAGCAAAAACAAAAAATTAAGGTTTGTGTTATATAATCAGTGGATAATAGATTGAATTTTTTATTTTTGAACATTCATGACCTATTCAAAAGATAGCGAATGGTCTTGTTATGGCCAGAAGTCATAAATAGGTCAGTATTTCTTTTCTTTTCTTTTGAAAAACGTATAGTAATGTGTTGCTCTCTTTTCTAAAAGTAACTGTGTTGCCATGGATTGGGATAAAGATGGAGATATTCTAGCTGTGATTGCAGAGAAATCTAGTTGCATCTACCTGTGGGATGCCAACACAAATAAAATCAGCCAGTTAGACAACGGCATGAGGTAAGGGTCACATTGCTGCTCTTCAAGTAGTCTCAGCATTTTGTATTATTTTTTTTAACATCATTAATTGTATGTACTAATGGGATACAATATGACACTTTAAACTTTTTTAAAATTTTTATTTATTTATCTTATTTTATGTGTATTTGTGTATTGCCTGCATGTAGGTAAGTGCACCCATGTCGTGCAATGTCCGCAGAGGTTAGAAGAGGCTGTTGGATCCCCTGGGACTGGAGTTATGGACAGTTGTTAGCTGCCATGTGGGTGCTGGGATTCGAACCCAGGTCTTCTGCAAGAACAACCAGTGTTCTTAACCGCTGAGCCATCTTTCTAGCCCACGATACGATACTTTAATACATGCAGTGTATACTAGTCAAATCTGGGTAATTAGCATTTCCCAACTTTGGTTGTTTTTTTTTTTAAGATTTCACTTAAGAATGTGATTATTTGTCAGGAATGTGATAATCTCTCGGCTTGGTGCCCACAGTGCTTACTACTCTGACTTTAAAGATGCAATGATGTGTTCTTGGTTTTTGTTACTTTTTATGTTGGTTTGGTTTTTGGTTTTACAAGACAAGATTTTGTATAGCCCAGATACGTCACATCCAGCATGAAATTAAGATCTGAATAAATAGTAATGTTATTGTATTTGTCATTAAGGTAAAAATTTAGTGCTAGGCATGATAGAACATGCCTATAGTTCCAGCACTCTGGAGAGCAAGGCTGGAGGATTGTAGAATTGAGGCCAGCCTGTACTACATAGCAGGACTTTGTTTTAAAACAACAAAATCAGACTGAGGAGCTGGCTCAGAGGATAAAGTGCTTGCTACACAAGTGTGAGGACCAGAGTTTGGATCCCCAGAACCCGTTCATAGCCAGATGTGGTAGTACATCTGTAATCGTAGCACACCTAAGGCACAATGGGAGCATCCCTGGAAGTTGGCAGGACAGTTAATCTGGCATATGCCGTGGTACACAACAAAAGACCCTGCCTCGAACAAGGTGGAAGGAGAAGGCACTGAGGTTCTCCTCTACCCTCCTCAAGTCTCCTACGAGAAGGAGGTGGTCTGTTTAGTTAGCTGTGATTGATTTTGATATAGTTTATGGATGCATGCACAAGTGTATGTACTTGGGCATGTATGCACCTGCATATGGAGGTCAGAGGTCAACTCAGGCATTCCTCAGAAGCGTTTCTTTTGGGGGTGGGGAGCAGATCTTTCCTTAGCCTGGAGTTCACCAAGTAGCCCCAGGGATCCACCTGTCTGTGCCTCCCCAGCACTGTGACAGCCATACCTAGCTTTTTTTTTTTTTTTTTTGGTCTTTTTGAGCTTTTTAAGGTGGGTTCTGGAGATCAAACTCTTAAGTCCTCATACTTATGCAGTACATAGACTGAACCATGTTCCCAGCTCCCATTTAGCTCTATTTCTGATGATGGTTGGTTACTTGATAAT